CGATAAGTACTAGAATTTAAAAGTTCCTTGAAATATCATGTTTATTTTCTGCCGTGCAGAAGTCTGTGGGCGGTAAGGCGTTCTCGTTTTCGTTTCTGTGTCATGTTTGTCAAATTGACTGAAGTCCTTTCCCACTGTCCTGCTGCCTCTCCTTCCCAACTAGGGTGCTTCTTGTTAATGTCCTGTCCGCTTCTTGTCGCTCCTGTTCCCTCCTGTTTACGCAGTTGTTGGCTTCTTCCTTGTGGCCTCAGGCAAAAGCTCAGGAGCCGAGCTGAGGCATTGGAGTGAATTGGAAAATGCGAACAGGATACAAAAATGCAAGCCATTTCTATGACAGCTCTGAGGGGCTGTCAGAAAAAGTAGCCGGTAACTATTAAGGAAATACCACTTAAAATTAATTGAAAATGAGCCAACGAAAAAATGCCTTTATATAGAAGAATTTATGATAAATGCATTTTTATACATATCTTTTAAAGTAAAAAATCCAAAAAAATAGATATTAGATAACTTTGTAATTAGTAAATAAAAAATATTTAAGTTATAGTTCGGTTTATGGTATACTAAAAAAAAACACCCCTTAACCATTTATGGTAGCTCGCCAAGATCAAATTGCTTTTACAACTTTCTGGCGCTGCCGCTCAGCTTCTCTCAGTTTGACAGACCGCTGAAGAAGGATTTTCCTGTCTGAAGTGCGTTTCAGGACTAGATGGGGAATCAGAACTAATGGCTCTGGACTTTCCGCTGACGTATTTCAACTGACTTTGCGGCGTGTTGAGCCAACCGCTCGACGTGCAGGGCAGAAAATTAATATTCCAATGGCAATTACGCCCCAAATTGATTGATATGCAAATCTATCCAATTACCACGATGACATATTTTTTAATGCATTAACCAATCGATTGTTAAATGACAGATGTGGGGGGTGTGAGCAAATGGAAATCAATTTAAAGAATTAAGCTGCTAGTAAAGTATTTTTATATATTTCATTATTTTAAATATAATTTTATTATCCATACATTAAAAAAAAAGATATAAAATTGTATCTTTTTAATACGAATATATAATAGTTTTACTCTGAATAAAGTTTTTACTAAGGGAAAAAACAGATGGCCTTTAGCGGCATCCAGATTTAATTGCGAGCCACAAACATAAGTTGAACAAAAGCTCCCCCGGCGGGACTTACACAATAAACCTTTTTAAATACGCGAAACAAAATAACCGAGACGGAATCCAGCGAAATCCTAATTGTCATAATCACGGGGGGAGACACTTGAGCGTCCTTTGCGGCGTCAAAAATTAAAACGTGACACAAATTACTCGGTTGGTCTGAGTCCCTGCCGCCGGGGATCCTTTGCTCCTCTCCTCGCCCAAATGCCATTAACCAGGACAGTGGTGGCAACTGGCTCTAGGGACTAGGGTTTTCGGGGAGAGAGGGAGGACTGGGCTGGGTCCTGTCGCACTGCGCCTGCCCCGAGGGGTGAGCCGGTACCAGGACCTGTCCCTATGTCCCTGTCTCAGCCAGTGTCCGTGTCAGTGGCGAAGGATGTAATTCCTCATGTGAGTACACACTGGGAAAATGGCCAACAAGATTTATTTAATGGAAAACTATATTTTCAATGTGTTAAATATTTCAAATAATTATTATTTGTTTAAAATTATATTTTCTTCTTTCTGTAAAGATTTAACTACAATATCCTCTTTAGAGACTTGTTCCTTGACATTTATTTTCGCTGAGTGGATGACTTGTACAATTTTTTCTTCGACCACACTCCTGCTGCTCCTTGGTGCCGCACCTCGGGGAGCCTTTGTTAATCATTTTCCCTCTACTCGCAGATTTCGCACGCACGCACATGGGCGTGGAGAGGAGGCTCTGCTGGGTAGGGGGCACTGGGCCATCATTTGCATATGTGTGTACCAGGAGAGGTGTGTGGGGACCCTGCAGTACCATTCATCAACATTTCATCAACGTTTCATCAATAGCCGAAGCGTTTTGTTGATGATTAAGCGATGAATTGCCATACAAATTACTGATGAATTTAACATGGGCATGTCATAGGCTGTCATCAACAGCAATTCATCAACATTTAAGCATCATTTCATCGATGAATTATTGATGAAATACTGATGAAAGGCTGATGAAATGTTGATGAAATACTGATGAATTACTGATGAAATACTGATGAAATGTTGATGAAATACTGATGAAATACTGATGAAATGTTGATGAAATACTGATGAAATGTTGATGAAATACTGATGAATCATCAACATTTCATCAGTATTTCATCAACATTTCATCAGTATTTCATCAACATTTCATCAGTATTTCATCAACATTTCATCAGTATTTCATCAACATTTCATCAACATTTCATCAGTATTTCATCAACATTTCATCAGTATTTCATCAGTATTTCATCAACATTTCATCAGTATTTCATCAACATTTCATCAACATTTCATCAATATTTGATCGATGAAATGATGATGATTCTTCGATGAATTATTGATGATTTTTTTTTTCATATATAATATTAAATTCTTGAAATTTTATTAATATTATTTATTCTTACTAATTCTAAACCAACACTAAGACACAAATAAAAACAATTAACATTAAATCCATATATTGAAAGGCCTCAGGGTCTGTTTGCTACTCGGTTTTCCACTTTTTATTGACGTAGACCAAATTTTTTGCGCAGTAACTTCTCTGGAGGCTCAGTTCTATCCACTTGGGCAGTTGCATCTACAAAAAAATAATAATTAATCAAGGGAATAATAATAATACAATTAAATAGAATTTACCCAAAAGATCCTCGTTTCAATATGTTGGCCATTACTGCGATCAGAAAAGAAAAAAATAATATAATATATAATATATAATAAATAAAATAATACACATAGGCTTTTATTTAATTAAAAACACTTCACTTTACTCACCTTTTTATATATTCCAATAAGGCCCGAAACGAATTTATTTAATAATTTATTTATTAATTAATGAAACACACGACACTTCTGCAGTGCAGAGCACTTCAACTTCGAATGCAAAGGGAATAAGAAGAAGCAAGACAAAACCGAAAACCGTTGCTCCGAAAATATGGAGTCGAACCTTCGAGAATCTATTTTAATTGCGTCTTCTACTTTGTTTCGGACTTCAAAAAACGAAGCCCATGCTAATTGTTTTTTTTTTTTTTTTTGCATGCACCGACAAATCGGACTCGAAGGGAGTTCGGGTCTCCGAAGGGAGTTCGGGTTCAAGTAGCAGTCGGCAGAGCGTCGATTCTGTCGGCGTCGCAGTCGGCGCGTTGATGATTTGTTGATGAAAAAGCCTACTGATGAAATGTGGTACTGCAGGGGAGTGTGTGTGTGTGTGTGTAAGGACTGTGTGCGGAGCTATCCGTCTATCCACCTGCCCCGGGCCAGCTGAGCTGCTTTCTTTTACGATGATTGCCGGGATGTAAATTTGATTTAGGGCTTTGGGGCCCATAAAGAGTCCTCTCCCGAAGCCAACGACACTTTAAGAGCCCCAGATTCCCTCTTTCTGTGGGTCATCAAACCTATGAAAGGCCAGATGCTGATTGTGTTTAATCGTAAAAATGCAACTATCGGCAAGCATATGGCAAGAAAAAAGGTCAGACGGATAGCACACCAGTTGGTCGAAAAACTTGAAACAAAATTAAATACTTTTAGCGATTTCGACACATGCAAGTTCTGGTTTTATTTGTTTGTGCTAAAAAACGAAATCGTCAGCAAGAAGTTTTTTACACAATTTATTGCCAAAGCCAACATACATATGTCAAAAAACTAGCTGAATGAATATGCAATGGGTTTCAAAGTACATAAAAAAGTTTTCCAAAAATGCGAGCATAAAAAGCCCTCATAATATTTTCATGTATCATATATTTATATTTTTTTAACTACTCTATACAAACAAATGTAATTTAATTATAGTCTGAATTTTTGCAATTTTCTGCAATTGATTTTAATTCCTTTACGTTTATTATTAATTGTATAATTTTCTCTACTCTATTTGCTTATATACTCGAAGAATTTTACTAGCCTTTGGAAATAAAATTTTATTTTATTTAAATGCAAAACACTTAAATGATCCATAAAATGAAGTGCTACAAAATTAAGTGTGAAAAGTCTCTTTTCCTAAATAGGAGAAAATGAACTTCCAACCATATGTTTTCCCATTGTGAGCAAGTTTCACACATGCTTAGCAATTTTCCCTATTTCCCAAAGGGCCCCACACCCCCACTTGTCTCTTCTAAGCTCCGCCAACTTTTCCGCCACCTGCAAGCGGCTTTTCTTTTCGTTTTGTTCGCTTTTTTCACAAGCCATTAGCAGCTGTTCGGGAAGGAAAATCGAGCAGCCGCTAATAGAAAATACACACATGCGAGCTCCTTGCACGGAGGAAAAATATAATTGATGATATACACATGTGTCTAGTTTTCAATAAAATATGGATATAATTTATATTGTTTTTAATTCACAGTTAAAACCCAAGATTTCAGTATTTTAAAAATTGGTTTACATCACGAATAGTAAGGTTTTTATATCCTAGAATCCTAAAAACAAAATTAGCAGACCAATTATCAATTAAAATCTTTTTAATTGAAGCCTTACAACTTTTTAAAGATAAAATGCCTGATGATAGAGTTAACTTATAATATTTAGTCTAAACTATTTGATATATATCAATAGTTTATAAGTACACAAAAAAAGGATTGGTTTGCATTTTGGTAACATAATTAATAATAAACAACATTTTTTTAATTTAAAAATATTGTAAGCCTTTGGTAAGCTTACTAAAATAGACCCATATTTATTAATAAACAGCTTCCATGAGTTGATTTTATAAATTATATTAAGAAATCAACCCAGAGCTAATTAGGATAGAATATTAAAATGTATAGTCTCATTTTCTGTGTGTGCATGAGGTTTAAAAAAAAATATATATGTATATAAGGAAATGGGTGGTCGTTGGCACTCACCTGGAGCGTGGAACTCCTCCTCGCCATTTGGCCGGATGACGGAAATCTCTGTTGGCTGCTCATCAAAAGGGGGATACAGCCACTTTCAGTTTTAGTGCCGGCGAAATTTTGTGTATTTGTGTGGACTGTCTGTCTGGCGATGTTGGTTTTCGTTTTCTTTATTTTTAAAAAGAGCAAAATTCTAACAATTTCGACTTGGACGAAGCCTCCCTTGTGTTTATTGCTTTTGTGGCTGTTTTTTAGCCGTTGCCAGCGCAACTCCTGGATGGAAAAACTTGGCCAGCAGGAGCAGCCAGAGGCTACGAAAGCAACAACAACAACAACAACAACATCAAGCAGGTGTGAGATGTCAGCCGCCCTTAACCGCTCTCACGCACACACAACAGCTCACACACACGCGGAAGGAGTCGCCAAGTGTAAATAGAGTAATAAAAAAAAAAAATGTAGGGAAATGAAACAGGAAAAGCTGGCGGAAGAAAAATCGAAGGAGACCCGTCCCGAGAGAGGGCGAAATTAAAAGAGAGAGAGAGCCCGTTACAGACAGGACGAGAGAGAGAGAGAGCGGGAGCGCGAGAGAGCGAGATCCTGTGCGAGAGCCAATAACAAACTTTCGCCTTTTTGTTTATTTCACATACAAAGCACTAACACTGACACTTTTCCAGGATGCGGCTTTTTAAATGGCCCGAACCGATAAATTTGCATTTCGCCTTGGCATTTATTTATTCCCTTTCCTGGCAGCACGATAAATTGGAATTTCGTTTATATTTTTTTCTCCAGCGTCTTTTTCCGCTATTTTTAACACACGCACTTTGCGCAACTAACTGTAAATTTACCACACTCCCGCACAAGAAAGCTGCTCGGTGGGCGGCTCAAAAGTGTATTAAAACACCTGAGGTCTCCCCTACAACGTATAGTTAATTAGATGGGGTGTATATTTGATTATTTTCTTTAGACATACAGCCAATATCCATATTTATTGTTTATATTATTTAAATATTTCTTGTGGAGAAAACGTACCAGCTTCGCGGGTGAAAATCGAGCAATAACAAAGAATGTGCTTTGCGAGTTGCTTAAATAGCTTTTGCCTACAAACATGCTACAATAATACAAGGTTGTCTCGTCGGGTTTAGTCCCTTAAACTTTAGTGCTTTTTGAAGGGAAAAGTTGTTTTTAAATAAATAAATAATAAATAAAATTATTAATTATTTTCTAACATTTTTTTTGTGCATCAAAAAATGTATTTAAGCGGCATTTTTATATTATTATTTTTATTTTTATAGAGGAATAGATACTTTTAATTTTCAAATTTTAAACAATTTGTTAAAAAAAACATTAACCCATTGTTATATTTATTTAGGGACTTGGTTTTCGACGAGACTACCTTGTAAAATTTCATTATGGATCCAACCAGTTCGCTCTTGGCGTCGAACTCTCTCAGGTTCCAAGCCTAAGGTTCGATGCCAACGCACAGTGGTTAGAGATTTATAAATTATGCAGACTAAGGTCTGACTAAGAAGTCTGCCTTTAGCGTAAATAGCTAAAAAATTGAAGAATTAAATAACTATAAACTAAAAACAAGTGATTTGATATTTTATTTTTGAAATAAAATCTAAAACACATTTAATTTTCATAAAAAAATAAATGTGGGATTTTCAGCAGTCCTACGAAATTAGTTTTTTAATTCCCTATTTTTCCAAGTTTAATATTATTAATAAGCACTCCCTCTATCTATGTTTTCTTAGTCCCTTACGAGTTTGTTTTATAATTGTAATGTTCAAGCATCTCTTTTAAAAATTTATTTAGTAGTTTGGACTCTTATGATTGGAGCCACAAATTACGTTTTAAATAAATTTCTCTTCTAGTTTCCTAACAATTTTGTATTTTTTACACTGTACAAATGCTTTTCAACTGGAATATGCTTTGTAGAGTGATTGCTTTAGCAGAGAAAGTCTGCACAGTGGCTGTATCTTCCCTGTTGCTTATGCGGGTGGCAGCCATGTTACTGTGCCAGCTGATATTACCAGAGTATAACAGTTCAACCTGTCTTTAACAGTGGCACAGTGGCGGCCTTATATTATTCTAAAGCCCCCAAAATAATAACAGTTTAAATAAGCAAACAAAAATCCTTTACTCTCCTTTTTTTTAAAAAGAAGTTACCATAAATAATGTATTCTAAAATGCGTCATAAAAAAAACAATACGAGAGAGGCATTTACAAATCTATATATTGAGATAGATATATAGTAAAAAACACCCCCAAAATATTCTTTTGTGTACTCATTAATTTATTTAATTAAAAATTGAACACTTTGCACTTGGTAGAAAAATCTTACAATTAACTTAAGGCTGCAACAGATTCATCGAGGGACCCTAAAGCTATCGGTCTCAAAGTAGTATGTAAAATCATCAGAAACTTTGGGCCGAGGCCGCGTCATGATTCCTTCGGTCCAATCCATTTAATTGGGCTTAGGAAGCAGTTCTTTGGAGTGGCCAATATGGCAGTTTGTTTACAAGTAAGGAGTATAACTACGGATCAATGAAGGATATCATGATGTAGCGAGTGCCCTTGGTCACGAGCAGTCCCTCGTGGAAGTGGGTCAGCCGTCCCGGATGCATCAGCATCCAGCCCTTTTTCGTCTCGGTTACGGAGCAGTTGTATCTTAGGAACCGGCAGCCACCACCCTCGTAGTCGATGCCTGCTCGATTCATTGCTATGTTGATGGTGTACGTGGAGGAGTCATGGTGGGGCCGCAGGGAGGGCTGCTCATCCGGTCGGTAGCGCACCATGAAGTTCATCAGTGAGCGGGGTGGCTGTGAGCAAAACGATATAAAATTATAAAACTGAGTTTAAATTTATAAGCTTGGAAACTTACATTATGGAAGTACCCAGTGAAGACCTTCTCTTGCAAAGGACGCACGAAAAGCTGGAGAAACTTGAGATAGAGCGGCTCCAGTCCCACCTGCTTCATGTGGATGTCCCGCGTGGGAACCGCCTCGTAGCCACCCTCTAGTCGTGCATCGGTGTTGCTGCCATCCGACCAGGTATTGTGCGCCTCCATGATAGCCACCAAATCGTCACAGAAGGCGTCCGTGACGATCTGGAACCAGTAGACATCCGGGCATGGCTGCGGAATCACATAGCTTTCATTCAGCTGCGCTGAGTAATTCGGATGTATGTACTTCTGGGCCCAATCATAACGGTTGGTGAACAAGGTGTGGAAGTCTGGGCGTGTCACCGAACTGTTGAAGTTGTCGGTGTTGATCAAGTGTCCAAAGTAACGCTGATTGGTTATGTACATGAAGATGCCCTGCAAAAAGTAATAATAAAATATTAATCTTAAATCCTATATATTATTTTTAAAGCCTTTAAACTTACCGCATTCCGCAGAGACTCACACATGGCCATGTCGGGATCGAATTCCTTGTGCTGGAAGTTGATGGCATCAAAGGCACTGTGCTTCACCAGATAAATGCTCGTCACATGGGGAACGTTGAAGATGCCACTGCGAATGGAATGGAATAAATCTGATAAATGAGGTGACCACAACAGGGCAGACGATGAAGTCGAGAGCGGATTGCAACCGTGTTGCGAAAATGGAAAGTGACCTCGCCTGAGCCTGAGCCCACAAATAGAATTAATTCAATCACAGCAACGAGATTGGATGGACGTGGACGTGTGGAACGTTCATCAGATGGCGAGAGAGCGCAGTTTGCAAACAACATTCCGCGTTGGCGATCGGATTTACGGCTCGACAATAATGCCTCGTGGCATATGGAAGCTCGACTGCATCGTTCTCCTGGGGATCTGCTTCTTGCTGTTCGGAGACACTATCCCTGTGGCAGCCCAAAGTGAGTTGCCCATAGCCTATAATCAGCTGAATATATAGAATATTGTATTACAGGAAGCACTGCGGGCAAGACCGAGCGACGAAACTATACGGGCAAGAAACCAGTGGTCATCCAGCATCGTTCCCAGGATGCCGTCAACTACTACGATCACGAGAATGTGAGTGACTTAAAGAGGGTTGGTAAGCCCTAATAATAAAGTTTGTGTGCCCATTTTAGGGAGCCAAGATCATAAAGTCCTCGCATTTTGAATTGGACTATACTCTGGGACGCAAAATCACATTCTTTTGCATGGCTCAGGGTGAGTAAAGACTATAAGCTCATATATTCAGTTGGCTTAAAAGAAACTTGTTTTTTTCAGGCAATCCTCGACCCACAATTACCTGGTTTAAGGACGGAGCCGAGCTCTACCAGCATCGATTCTTTCAGGTAAGCAGCGATAATAGATATATTTCACTTGATAAAATGGGATTTGTTTTCTTTGTTTTGACCAGGTTCACGAGTCTCACATAGAGACAAATATTGTTAAATCTAAAATGGAAATTGATCCAACCACACAAATGGATGCCGGTAAGTAAAAAATTACAACCTAAATAAACAACAATAAGAAAAAAAATGAGAATATCTGACTGCTAAATTTTAATGAATCTTAACAAGTTGAGCTTCCTAAATTTGTAATCATCTCGCTGGTTGTTTTACTAATTTAATGTATCTCATAATTTCTAATTTTTCAGGATTTTACGAATGTCAAGCGGATAACATCTACGCCATAGATCGACGAGGCTTTCGCACGGACTATGTTATGGTTAACTTTTAGGACAAATTTTCCCGCTTCACTGTCTACGATTTAACTCTGGGACCAATGTACATCAGAAATGTAACGCATAAAACTTTGAATAAAAAAATATATTGAAAAAGTGATTTTCTTCCGTCTCGTTGGAAATGTAACTTCTAGTTGAGCCCGACCTTTGTGCGTTTATGTGAGCGCTTGCAAAGCCGACAAATTGGCTCAATTACCCCATTCAAATGATTTTTTTGCATTTATTTTATTAAAATGTGTGGAAAGCAAACCAAGCAAACCGAGGCTTTTTGCTTCTAATGTGAGCAACCTCAAAAACAGGGTAAAAAAAATATGTCACAGTGGGCCAAGGTCTGAAATACATGTTAATCGAGAATCAAGGACTCTAATTCTTTATATTATTTACTCAAATTTGATCTCCTTTAAATTCAATATTGACAGAATTTAGCAAATTTCTTTAATTTGTTGCTTAAAATGAAGAAATATATTTGGTTATTTAAAATATTTTCAATTATAAGCAAAAATAAATAATAAATATTATCTGTAAATATTTTTGCAATTCTTTTAAATAAAAATAGAATTAAAAGCTTTTTAAATTTTAAATTTAATATTACATTCTTATAAAAACCCCATTTTGAGCTACATCAAAGCCTAATTCCACTGTGCCCTGAACAGAATCCCAGCCAGATTTCTCGAAAGGGGTGCTCTATGAGCTCCCACAGCGATCGGTGGTATCAAGCAAGCGACCAAATCAAATAATGCGATGGAATTGAGCGAAATATGAAAATGCGGCGCGATGAGAAACCCATCCCAGAACAACAACAAGCAGCGAGCTGGTGAATCTCGAGAGTACACCATCCAACGGATTAAATCCGCCGGACAATTGTGGCAAATTAGATGCGCAGAGCGCAGATCCGCAGTCCCGCCGAGTGGATCAGTCGCCGAGCAGACGAGATTCGCACAGCAACGCCACCAGAGTGTAGCAGCATTATCCATTAGCCGCAGAGTCACCATGCAGGTCAAGTGCCTGATCATCTGCCTTGGATTGGGGCTGCTCATGTTAGCCACGCCCATTTGCGAAGCACGACGTGGACGTGGCCGTGGACGCACCAAGTCCAGGGTTCAGATCGGATTGCCCATAACGGGAAAATATCGTGATCCAGAATCTGATCAGTATTACAACAACAACAATGTGAGTGGATATAAAAAGTGATAAGTGGTTCTTGAGATTTGATTAGTTTTTTTACATCAAACTGTTCCTGATCCTTAAATATTTATTTCTTTAAATTCTTGAACTAGAAAGTCAGGCTAGTGATACCCCGAGTAAAGAAGACTGTTAATTTATTATTTTATATGTTTTTAGGGCGCCAAAATCCTGCAAGCTTCGCACTTTGATCTCGAGTACGTTCTGGGCCATAAGATCGCCTTCTTGTGCGTGGCCAAGGGCAATCCCCGACCTCATATCACCTGGTACAAGGACGGGGCGGAGATCTATCAGCACCTGTACATGCACGTCCACGAATGGCGCATCGGCGACGACAAGGTCAAGTCAAAGATCGAAATTGACCCTGCCACCCAGATGGATGCCGGTCTGTACGAGTGCACGGCTGACAACATGTACTCCATTGATCGGCGCAGCTTTAAGACCGATTTCTCAATCGCCTTCGACTGATCAGAGTCTGGACCTCAGTTTGACAACCGAAAGGTTAAAGAAGTCACCCGGAAATGGAAATATAAACAAGAAACAAATCTGAAACGTCATTCCTACTATTTTATCTTGGGAATCTGTAAAGCTAGGATCAAGTTTGAAGTTTCCATTTATAAAAAGAAACAGAAGAATATGTTTTATATTCAAAACAATATGCATCTAAAGATCTTTCAATGGGTGAACTCTAACAGCTATTTAGTAATGATGTTTTTATAAAATTGTTGTATTATAAAAATAAACAAATTGAGTTGTTATAAGTTTAATGAAAAACTTGTCAACTTTGTAAGTCGAAATACCCGGAATATTTAAGACCCTTGAATTCCCGAAATTGTTTTCTACTTACATCAGATCACGTTTCACTATGTCCACGTAGTCGTGCGACCTGGCATAGTAACCTCCTTCGGACAGGGCACCCCAGAAGTTGCTCCACAGCTCGTGGTGTTTGGTGAATAGAGGAGCCGCGAATTGCCTGAAATTTGTAATTAAATCGATGTTAGTAGATGAAATCAGTTGTCTTTGACCTCGACCTTTAATAAACAAGATACAAATCGTGTTGTAATGAGGTCTTTGCCTTGACCTACTTGTTTAGCCTGAGCAGCTCACGGAGTACCTCGCCGTCGTCAATATGCGCATCTGCGTCCAGGAAGAAAATGTAATCGCTGTGTTGCAGTCGAGCCTTGTCACTGTCAGAATAAAAAAAAAAAATGATTTAATAGAATACAACATTAATAAGTTATAATTTAGGTTTATATATTTATTAGTGACTTACAGGGCCAATTGCCTGCCTTGGCGTTCATCTAGTTCATCCGTGGAGAGAGTAAACTTAGCACTGGCGTACTTTTCACCATATTTATTGACAAATTCCCGGGTGTCGTCGTCGTGCAAGGGCACACCGCTGTACATGAGCAAGTGCAGCTTTTTCTTTGGATAGTTTAAACTCTCGACGCCCTCGAGGAACTGGTCGTAGAACGGCACGGGTGTGGAGGCGATCACAGCTAGAGTTATGACCGGAAGATCGTTATCCTATAAAAAAAATATTTTTTAAAATTTACAAGCAAAGTTAAAAACAAAATAGACAAACTCACATCCAGATCTAGTCGATATTCCTGGCACACCAGGCACTGGCCATTGAAAGTCTTGGCCAGATAGTTGCCATAGGCATTTAGATCCACCTTGCTCAGACCATTGCCATGGATAATGGCCGGCGTTGTCATAAAGTCCACATTCTGCAGGACACCTTGATTGGTCTCAAGATCCACTTTCAGCTTAACATCATTTTTGGCCCCATGAAGGTTTTGGAATAGTCTGGATTGTGTGTCCAGCTTCATGCCCAGCTTGGCGCGTTTCGTTGGATCAAGGAAGGCCTTGGTAAAGTACAGCTGGTCATCGGCAGTGTCCTCAATGGGGTCTTCCAGCAGGCCATAAACCTGCGGCGCATAACCGATAAAGGCCCCAGAATTCAGGAATCTCGAACCCCTTTCCTCCACTTCGGGATAATCGTTGGCCAGACTTTTATCTGGCCAACAGAATTTCTCGGCGGAAAGGAGCAGCTTGGCTCCGGATTCCTTAAACTTCTCCACAATCTCCTCCAGCGTAGCTGTGAACACCACATCGTAGCTGTAAGATTTGAATTTACATTTTAGGTTTCATGATAATTGATATTTGAATCGCTTACCTGTCTGTGAACAATATTATCGTCTCTGGATCATTCTTAAAAGGAGTAATGGCTTTACGCAGAAGATTAAGCTTGAAGCCGCCGCCGGGATGCTGCATATCACCGCCCATCCATTCCTCTCCCAGTCCAAGGGTGGTAACCTGATTAAATCATATTTATATTATTATTATCTAGATTATGTTCATCTTAACTGGATTCTATGGATTTCAAGCTTGGCAACTGGATATACAAACTATTTAACAAGAAAATATCGTAGCAAGATTTTATGAATTTTAATTTTAAGCCGGTTGTTCGGGGTTAAGATCTTTATAAACTATAGTACAGAGATGGCTAACATCCTCGTTTTAAAAACTAGTTTAGTTTGTAAACTTTTGAAATAATCAAATTTAAGCTAGCCTGATTTCCCATCTTTATAGAGTTATTTATAGGTTCCTATCAAAGCTCTAACACACTCTTCTACTAGAAAATCGTAGTTACAAAGACCCATTGAAGAATAGAAAATCTAATAATAAATATATAAGAACTTATACAAAGTTTTTGGCTTAAATTATTTTATTATTATATATAAGTAATCCAAAACCCATAGAATGAACTAAAGATTCATTCAGCAATCGCTGCAGATCAAATGACTTGGGTCTCACAGTTCTCTGAATACGAGAATAATAAAGAAACTCAAAACAAAAAAGGGGAAGGGATCAGCTTGACTTAATCAAAAAAAAATTAAATAATATAAAAAAGCCGGCTTATCAGCATATTTTGTTGCCGTCAATTTCTTTCCTAACTGGAACATATACATATTTTGTGACATCTTCGGGACCTGATAACCGCAAATCTGCCGCAATCAGACCGAGAGAATAGAAAGTTCCAGAGCTATCAATAGACTGGGAAATCAAATAGGACTGTATTGTGTTAATAACCCCGGCAACTGCACCCGATTCAGTCTGGAAGACTACGTGACTCCAACATGTGTGCACTGTATGTTGTCGCTGCCCCACAATGTCCAGCCAATCTCCGTGCTCCACATCAGAAAATCGGACGCCAACGCCGGATGCTCGGGTAGCGGCGTACACTCACATAAACATACTATATTCCATATACCAAGCAGACATTTATTTAGACAATACAATGTTGCTAAAGTATGCCAAGCTAGCCGGCAAGTCTTGAAAGCTTTCAAAAATTCGTTCTTATACTTGATGATAGAAAACATCAAATTTAAGACATCTATGTATATAGGTTTTTATGACAACTCGACTGCTTGAATAGGCATCAAATTAGAAATTCATCAATAAAAACAATCAATTCTAATTTGCATAGAAAGAACTCGTCAAGTTTGCAAATTTCAGACATGGGCATAACTGTATTTAATAGGCTGACTTAGATTTAATGTGTCTTCCAAAAACATAAACCTGTTTCCATATTTAATGTGAAATAAAAACACAGTCCGCATTTTATACACTAAAAATTAAGAGAAATATTAATTAATTGCTTTTAAAAAGCTAAAGAAAACTGGGGAAGGAATAAAATAAAGCTGAAACCAATGGTTGTAGTACAAAATTGTTCATTTAGAATACATTTCTTCAACATGGGGAAAGCTACGAAGATGCCATATTTAGTACTTCATCTATTCCTAATGATTCTTCATAAACCGCAAAGCTTATAAAATTCTGATTTTAGATATCCAGTGTGAACGACACGAAGCGTCGATTTTTTAGGTTGTTCTAATTAATAAGAACTTATATTTAATTTAAATCTCACCTCGATGTCGTAGACGCGTGTAGATCTCAGATATCTGGCATAGCCATCGGTGGGTTCAGTGGCCACAGTAAAAACTTTGACTTTGTCTGCGGAGCATTTGAAAGAGGTGTGAATGATTGATGATTTATGTTGATGTGTATTAGTAAATTTATTAGGAAATTGATATGCTTGTTTTTAGGTTACTGTCTTGCTTTTTATACCCTTGTATAACCCCTAATTTTAGTCAGTAGCTTGAAAAGCAGTGAAGAAACCATTTCTGACCCTATATATCATATATATTCTTGATCAGCATCATCAGGCGAGTCTTTTTAGAAACGTCGACAAGAAAAAAATATTTCAAAATTTGTTCAAAATTTGATAAGGGGTAACATCGTTATAATTTTTGAAAAATTTGAAAATTTTTTAATTTAAAAGAATTCAAACTTCACAGTATGCAGATTTATTAACCTTATAAAAAATATCACAGAACAGCTTTCCGAACTGAATTCAGTGAATTTTTTGCTTAGTTATGATCGATTTACTTTTCGATCCCATAATCAAAGTGCACACTGCAAGGGTATACAATCTTCGGCTTCCCGAATTTAACTTCCTTTAAACTGACTAAATTATTTAATACTAAAATAAAAAATCTTAGACTTTAACTAGCTTGATTGTAGCATTATGAATTATTTTATTGGGCCACAGATACAAAATGTTAATTGGATATACTTAAATTGGTCAAAATAGAATCACAAAATGCTAAATATCTATTGTCTTAGCAAGCCAATATTGTATATTGAACCTTAACCGGTCATATTAACTAGGCAACGAGTTGAACAGGTTTCAAAACGATAATTATAAATATCAAGAAATAATTTGGTCGATCAAGCAATTTGTATCTGCATTATATTCGACTTTGTGCCTGCATCTGCATTTTGTATCTTGCATCTTGTATCTTGCATATTGCATCTTGTATCTGCATCTGCTCCTCTTCCGGGCAATTCCAGAGTAAACGACCCGCGCACACACATCAAAGCGGAATAAAAACACAAACAAATTTTTGGATTCCATAGGGGAAAAGGGGAAGGGGTATGTAGGATATAAACATGTGTGTAGAAACAAAATCGCAGATTTTTAGCGGTGGCCTATGTGAGTGTAGAATGCACTTCATGAATGCAAGGCATAATTTTCTATGGACGCTGATGAGCTCATTCTAACTTAAGTCGTATAAAAAATAAATACAAACCATTCCAATTCTCAGTAGCTGCAACGACGTTGGCGTCGCTGTCGGCGTCGGCACTTGCTCCTTGCGACGTCACAGCCAGCAACAACAACAATAAAAACAAAGAGCCTTGTTGTTTTACATGCATTGTGCTGGATATAAATTCCTTTTTTCCCAGGCTCAATTTCCAAGATACTCTTACAATTTCCGTTACAACTGCAGCATCTTTCGAAAATATCTCACAGAACTAAATTAATCCGTATCTGACGAATTGTTTCGCCGCGAGAAATTCAACTTCTGAAAGTCAGAAACGCGATTGAGATACTGACAGGGGCAGCGGCAGCGACGCCCGCTGAACAGCTGATTTGTTGCTAGAGAGGGGCAAAAAATGTCGCACCAACTCGCACCAAGCATTAGATACATATACTGAAATATACTAACTTGTGTTCAGTATTTTTTACATATGTATCTGGGGTATTTTTTTTTTTAATAACAGAATTATTTAAATATATATAGATATAATTCTCTTAAAAAAAAAATTAGGAACTCAAATTTATAAACATTTATAAATTGTGGTGATATAAATAATTTTCTTTGGGGAAAACTATGAAACAAAAAACAAACTGAATAATTTGAACACAATTAATATAAAAAACAAGATTTTGGAAAAAGGACCCCTCAAAAAAGTATCCTATAATGCCACCTCAAGAATCCGGCAAATGCTAAAGGCAAATCTTAGGATTGAAAACTCTCCCAAATTAAAAACACTTCATCATATTTTTGCGTACGACTATATTTTTTACTGTGTAAGTACTCTTGTTTAAAATATTTTGGTATTGTTTGTTATTACAGCAATAAAAGATGGTGTTTTCTGCTACGCTTCGCTCACACTTCCAAACACACATTCTCGATCGAGCCTTCTCCTAACCCCCAGCTACAATTCACTCGTTAATGGATATAACTAAACATATTTATGCTCTATAGATAGATTATACACGTTATACGAAAATACTACAAATACAATTGGCCAACACGCTATGCTTAGGCCTAATTGAAAATAAACACGAGTATATAATTTACTTTAGCCTGTCCTTGCTTGAAGGTTGTACTTTCGACTTAATTTTAGCGCTGAAATCAGTGGACGATAAACGGAACTAGAGCCTAACTTAAACATAAACGAATTGGGTTCAATATTTGGTTTGGTTTTCAATTGTAAGTAACAGCCATTGGAAGTGCGTGTTTTTGGGTTCTTTCATCTGTGGATTTCGATGCTGGCGATGTGCTCTCAGTGTTTCCTTACTGGGGACTACGAAACCAGTGCATGGTGATAGTGCACTCGCTTCTGGCGACGCTTGGGCCGCGGCTTCAACTGCTCAAGCCTTTCTTCTGCTCCATGGAGAGTGACTGTGTAGGAGTGCAGACAAAGGATGGGCTCCCCGACGACGGCTATTGGTTCCCGACTGAAACTGTGTGATGCTGGTAGTGGTGGTGTGAAAGTGGCGCTGGAAGTAGCTACTGCTGCTGCTGCTGCTGGGTGCTCCCGTGGAGCTTGTCAGGCGAAGGTCACCTGGTAGAAGAGCCACTCTTCCATGAAAGACGGCACAAAGGCCTTGGTGGTGGTGTACTTCACCTTGGGCCTTAGTAGATCCAATTGCTCCTCAAACAGGCGCAGCTGCACCTTGCAGGTAGAGCCATTGCCGTGGGTCAGATACTTGCCATCCGGCTTCAGCACCTTGAAGGAGTGCTCGAAAATTGTGCGGATAAAGTCCCAGGTCTCGCCCACGGGTGCATCCGTGATGGGTATATCTGTGAGATCCCCAAACACATAGTCGAACTTGCGGCCGTCGGCAATGAACTTTTTCAAATACTCCACACAGTCGCCCACAATAATCTCGTACTGGTCGGTCTTGCGTTTCTCCAACACATCGCCACAGATGACGCTGAGGTACTTGTTGCACGCCTGCATCACAATCTCATCGATCTCCAGCATTACCACATGCTTGGGATTCTCCTTCAGCAGCTCGTAGAGCAGGGCTCCGTCTCCGCCGCCCAGGATGCATATCTCCTTGCCCTCGTAGTTTTCCACGCCGCGGCACATCAAAGTCTCGGTGTAGATCAAGTCGGATTCAGCAATGTCTGTGGGAGGGAAAAATATAAAGATTAATATAAAAACTGCAAAAAACTGAAAGAAGGTTAATAAAATTCGTTGTAAAGTAGCTTTGACCTTAACACAGAGACAAATCCACCAATCGATGGGCAGCCTTGACCCCTCTCGCGAGCCTTACTTACTTTGCAGCTCATCCAGCAGCAGCATGTTGCCCAAGGTCTTAGAGTGCATGATTTGAATCTTCTGGAAGGGCGACCGAGCTTCGTAGACCACCTGGTCAATGTCGTACTCGATGATGCGCTCATCTGCGAAAGATTTAAGTCAAATTAGGGTTGGAATAACTAGAAACTAATCCCTAGTTTTACTGATTTGCGTTCAATTGTTAGGCGGCACATGCAAAGTAACAACAAAAGTAAACAATTTACAGGAAAAATAGAATATATATAAGAAATAAGAAGGACAGGCGGTAAAATTTGAATACTGAACGGCGAATGACTGAAATGATCTATCATGCTGGGTGCGCCACTAGGAGAACTCTGAGAACATCAGCTCGATGGTGCTGCATACGCTCAACGAACGACACACGATCACATTGCGTTCACATACGTTTCGGATGACATACAGCAGTAGCAGTAGTACGGGTAGTTGCTCTAGTTTCAATATGGATTGAGATTAACTCTTACCTGACGATGGGAAATACCTGGAGACATCGCCGCGCTTCAGCGTTGGCAGCTTCTGCGACTTGATGGACTTTAGCTTGATTGCCAAAATCTTTTCCAGGCTCTTAGTCTGCTATTAGTTTGTTTATTTATTGTTCGTAATGTTGTTGTTGTTGTTGTTTTTCGTGGTGTCGAAGGTACCAATTATGAGCGAGCGAAGGCGGGGCAGGTGACACATGTGCGTTGGGGGCGTACGTCAATATGGTCAATATTTGTACACATTGATTCACAGTTCGCGACAATTTTGGTGTAATTTGGTATCCAGGAGATGGTGGCAGCGGTTGTTCATGATGGTCGATGAACGGTCGAGTGTCGATTGAATAGATATGAAAATAAAAAATTTATTTCAAATAAAAATAATATCGAATAAGTGAAGGAGGGAAGCTAAAACAGCAGCAATGCCAATTTATCTTTTAAAAATAATTGTAGCTGCGAGGGGACTTGGAAATTGCAATAGCAATTGATTTTTTGTAAGGAAATACTTTTTATTATTTTTATTTTTAAAGCTGTTAAAATCTTTATCAATTTAATTAGGTATCCAAATATTTACTTTTTGTTTTTTCAAAAATACAGTGTTTATGGCTTAATGATAGTCGTGTTCTATAAACAATTTAGGAATGATACAAAATGACATATGGCTCTTTTTGTAGTGCTAAAAAGCTATAAAAAGATAAAATTGACATCACTGCTGACAAAATAGGAAGACCGCCTGGAAGATGGGACAAAACTAGCATGCAGGAACGGGCTAGAGAAGTAATCCTCAACTAGGAGCAATGCCAGGAAGCTAAAGTCATGGACGGTGGGTGTGAGAATGTGCAGAGATTAACACAAGGCAGGTCGAATTTTTCTTGTGAATTTTTGTACAGAGCCCGAGATTCGGTGACCCAGGTGGCAGGTGGGTGTCCAATTCTGGTGATGTTCATGAAGGTTTTTATTTTCGTTTGGCGGTGGCGGCAATTGGAAATACTAGTGGACAAACTGCACGGGGTGTTCTAGATTCTGCAGTGGAATTTTGAAAGAGAATTTCAGTTGTATGTTGAGTGAGTACGAGTAAGTAGATATATATAGTTTGCATATAGAACTAGCAGGAACTAAACGGTATTTGGGTTTTCATTGTGACTTTTATAGTTAGTCCGACCAACCTGAGCTAGTCATGTATATGTCGATATATCCGCCGCGCTTAATCGGGGGCAAGTACTTGGACCGATCGGAATCAAATTTCTGTCGCAGAATCAGTTCCACAGTGCGCATGGTCTGCAATGGTAATTTCCATTTTTTTATTCAAGTCCTTCCACGGCACGATGAATAAATTAAAATAATGGAAGGTGACCTTCATTCCGGTGGAACGGAAACTCTTCGAACGACCCACCCCACTCACACCAGACGACAACGACGACTACGACATAGGCAGCCCGCCTGGCCCAACAAAAACTATTTTTAGTCGAAATACTTGATACTTATGAAAAAGGAAAGTGAAAAGAACCAAAAGGGAATATATAGCGCGCCATATAAATATGCAAGTGCCGCTGGCCCAGAGTGCATGCAAGTATAGGTACATATTGCAAAATAGGCAAACAAATATGTAAACAAAATTGCAATAGAGGGCTCAACCACACGCTTGGATTGCGAAATCTCAGAATTCACACAGCAAACAGTCGTAAACAGAACACAGAACAGCGTTGCCGGCTAGATAAGGAAATTTCCGCGTTTGTAGGACAGCAGAGTTCAAGATAATAAAACCTTTGCAAATGTATGCCTTCCTTCAAATTTTTAATTTGTATTGTTTTTATAAAAATGTATTATAATTTTAATAAATATACTTTTATTAAAACTGTAGCCCAGTATACACTTAAAAACAATTTATAATTTTTTATATGCATGATTATTTAAAATAATAAATATTAAAAACAAAAATAAATTGTTTAGAAAATCTTAACCATAAGCAAAAATATAGGAACCCATTTGATGTTTTTTAAGACACCTTTGAAACGATTTCTATCCCTTATAATATAGGTATTTTATATAGTTTTTTCCTGCCTATATAATTAAATATGTTTATAGATATTCAAATTATATTTTCTATTTTTGTGGTCGCAATTGTTCATGTTTAATTTTATAGACATATGTACATAGGCAGGTTCTTCACTTTGTCGTCTTATTTGTGCAGCCAAAAAAGTGACGAAATTAAAATGTAATAACGAAATAAAAACCAACCCGACCTTAAATCATTTGGTAAATAAATAAGTTATGAGTATTCCGGGCGGACCTCAATAGTTGTTGTATAAGAACAGCACGCCTATGGGCCAATCGCCAATCAATAGATCTCTGAATCGTGCCCACGTGCGCCGCCCAAATGCGGAGGAAACGGGACTGCGGACTGGGACGGCGGCGCCAAGTTAACCTATCAAAGCCCAGCTGGAGAAGGGCGGCCATGTGTGTGTGTGTGTTGGTTGCCGAAGAGGTGTTAGATAATAGAATAAATGCAGGGGGAGACCGCGGACGGGGGCCACTTGAGGCCAAGGACGCAGGGAAGGCCTGGCCTGACCCTGACCAAGTGCCGGCTGGTTTCTGCATACAGGGGCGCATGGAAGTGGAAAGCGGGTCGGTCAAGAGCACGCGACACACACCCCCGAAGCACACCGGCATATATTAACACTCGAGCATCGGCGCGGCGTACAAGTATGTGTGAACGGGGAAAATCAATTTCGCTTTGTGCTGTGGAAAATCTTTCCCCAATCTAATCGTCCACGACATCCCGAAACTGGTGGCACACGGCTGGGTTTTATTGTGGGGGAGGGGATGGGATGTTCGATATGCACATTTCACTTGTCGTACGTACGTCGAAGGAGATGCCCTCCTTGCCGTCGGGCAGGAAGTACTCCACGTTGAGCGTCAGCAGGCCGTGCTGGAAGATCCGGCAGGTAATCACCGTGTCCTTGTTCTCGTGCAGCACCGCAAAGTAGCCGTTCTCCGGCGACTCCATCGAGTAGGCCAACTCCAGCTGCGGGAAGACGTGCTCCAGCTCGTTGCGCAGGATCTTGGCCACCTCCAGGCGCTGCTTCTCGTCGCTGGTCTTGTCCTTGTCCAGCGTAAAGTCGAACAGTATTGTGTGAGCCGCCATGGTGTTCGCGTCCGCCGTAAAACTTTTTTAAAATCCCGAACCGCACCGAAATACTAGAGATGTGAGTCTTTCGATACACCACAGATGTGTCGCTATCGGAGGGCGATAAATCAGTGAGGCAGCATTTTTAATGGTCTCTTTGCTATCGCACGAAAATCACTAAAATAACGAAACAATTTATTTTTAAATTTTATTATTTGCGGTAAGCCCAGTTGAATCAGGGCCGAAGAATAAACATAATATTTAATGATTAAATAAGATTCCATTTTTTATTTATAGTTTTTAGGAAAGTAAAAAGAGTATATTGGATTTTTTGATTTCAATAAGAAGATACCAAATGTATATTTTATAAATACATGGCACATATATTAACACATTCTTTTGGTAGCTATATTGCAATAAAAATATATTTAAAAATTGAATAAACCGTATGATGTGGCCTATATGGCTATAATCAAATGTATTAAACAACATGAACAAAATACACAGGTATTGCTCAACTTTTCCAAACAACTCTTATCGGAACAATTAATATTATTAAATTTGAATAAACAAAACAATTTAAAATTTTAATATATTTATAAGTATTTGTATTGTAGCCTTGATCCCCACAACCACTGATAACAATTTTGGGGCATTGGGTTAACAAGCGAGTTCAGAGACCTCTTCTATTTCCATTTTAATCAAGCTTTGAAGGCAAAAATTTTTAATTAATTGAAGGCCAAGGTTTAGTATCTATTTTTAAAACTCAGGAACCGTTCGATTAGGGGCTCATGTTCATAAAACTTGTTAGAATTGATTAACTCATCTATAACTCCAAAGAGCTCCCTTTCTCGAGCTATGGTTTCTGGAGTCAGCTTGGCCTTCATCTTGGTAGCGCCATCGACGAACTTGGCGTGGACCTTCTCGTCCTCGGTGGCAAACTCACTGGCTACTCCAAGTAGACCCAGCATGCTCATTCCAATCACATTAGCTTCAAGTGAGGACGGAACTAACTGGCCCTGTACATTTTCAAAGACTTCCTGCAAACCCTTGACATGGTCAAACTTTTCCTGGACAGAGCCTCGCTGACGAAGCTCCCTTCCACGGTTCACGTACGCCTGGAGGGCTGCTGATGCGGGTCCACGTTCTGCTTCCGGCACACTTTCAACGATCTGTCCCACAAAGTTAATGGTGATGGTCAGCATATTCCCGAACTGGATGCCTCGAAGAGTATCGAAATATCCGAAGAACTCGGCAATGATCCTGTTTTGCGGTTGGACCGGACTAGCACTGGCCAGGCACTGTTGTTTTTTTTAGAAGAAATTAATTAAATTATATTTATAAGTTATAATAATTATAAATTACCAAGGTAGCCAGCGAGATGAGGAGCAGGCAGCGCATCTTGAAGAAATGTTTTGAATCGAATCTATTTTGGCAGAGCGCTTCTGTGCTTTTATAGGCGTTGGTCTATCAGGGAATGGTCTTATCACCTAGTTACCAATATAATGATGCAAGGAACATAAACTTTTGCAATAAGTCTATCAATTTGACTTTTCCGACTACGTTTTTTGATGTGTCTAATAAACCGTTATTATTGATCAGTCCAGAATACAATTAAATCTCTTAATTTATTTGCAGCAGGGGTGTATTTAATATTATTTATTAATAATCATTTTTTTTAAATAATATTTAAAATGTAACGGAAAGAATTACAGGGTTGTTTCTCATTTCGTCGTAGAGATGTGCGCCATCAACCACCGATTGCGATAACAATAATAGCGTCAAAGAATCGATAGGCTTATCGAAGTGCCCCACCTCTATTAGCCCGTTTCCAAAGGCAATCGTTTCGCGGTAAACAACACGGTTCTTGAAGCTGCTCGCCACCGCTTTAAATTACATAAATCGCGTACATGAGGGCAGCATAGAGGCAACGGCGCCAGCAGGTACAGTGCGCGACGGGCGGGGAGTAACCCCAGAGGCGGAATCTGTTCGCACCTGAACCTGAACTTGAATGTCGCGTGTTGTTGCTGCTTTTATGCTAGACGTAGGCCAACAAACAACAACAAGGCTGCTGGCGGCAACAATGGTCTGCTAATTATAAATCTCTCGATCCCAGAGAATCGGCAGACGGGTGCTTGCTCAGTGCTGTCGTTGTCTTCGGTGATGTGTGGGCGCCGCAGCATGCCAATGTTGTTACGTCGTCGTCGCCACGCCACCGCCACCCTTCGTCCGAGAGCCACCCCCAAAGTGGCGGCAGCAGTAACAATACGTTCGCGGGGGTGTCACCACAGTTATTGCCAAGTGTATTGATTTTTTGAATCCTTTTTCAGCTCCTGGCTCCAGGATCCCCCAGGCGACAGCAGGTGAGCAAAGTGGAGTATACCCTTGGGCCAGCCACTCGACTAACCGTTTGCATTCATTAAAAACTTGCAGCGCGGTCACGCACGCAATCCTTGCGGCAGCAGCACCCCAATTAGCCAGATTTCTCGACTACGTCATCGCCGGGCCCGAAATAATTTGCATTGCGGCGGCAAGCCAAGAGTAGGCAGGCCGGAGAGCAAAGTCGCATTTGCATTGTTCGATGACGTCCGGCACAACTATTAATACGGGGGCCGAGAATCGCATCAACAAAAGGCACGGGCACGGGCACAGGCACAATGAATTCAGCTCGCGAGATCCGCCAGATAGCAGAAATTAACTTGACAAAGGCCAGGGCCAGCGCGTGATGTATGGTTAGCACCTTTAATTTGGGCACATTTTTAAACTGGACTGATTAGAAGCGAAGCCAGCAGCATGCAGCACAGCACGGCGGGCAGCGAGGAGCGGATAGCCAGCACCACCAGCAGCCCGCGATCCGGCCACAAGTCCGCTGGCTCCCTGTTTGGTTTGCTGAGCAAGCGGCCCAGCAAGGTGGAACCGCATCCCGTGACCCCCGAATCGCCAAGATCACAGCAAAGACCTGTGTCTGCCTGCGGCCAGTACGATGTGAGCTTTGCCAAGTGCAATGCAGAGTCGTCAACGGGAAACCACCTGAACAACAACACCAGCACAAGCAGCAGCAACCATAAGAGCCAAACCCTGCCGCTGGAGAAGTCGCACAGCGGACTGATCAGCTTCCACCGACGGAGCAAGCCGCCTGCCTCGAAGGGCAAGAATCACTCGCATCGCCACAGCACCGATGCGGGCTCCCAAAGCGATGGCGGCACCGATGTGGTAATGCGACGCAAATCGCCCAAGCATCGATCGCCGAATCACAACAGATTTAGCCACCAGTTCAGCCTGTGCTGCAAGGCGGAGAAGAAGCCACTGACGCCGCCGGTCACCGTGCGTTATAACTCGATTCCTGATAACAACAGTGTTCTGAGGCGGGATAATCTCTCCCTGAGCTGGAGCATGGTGGACAATAACTCGGTGTCGCTGCATTCCAGCGAGGGATCTTCGCAGCGGCCGCGGCCCTCGAGCGAGTGCGCCAGTGCCCCCGAGTCGCCGGTTGCCAGTAAAACGTTCTTTGCGCAGTGCAGCAGTGCGGCGGCCAATGCTTCAGTGACCAGGAGCGAGAGCCTGCAGCATAGGTCTCCGATTAGACCCATTGCCGTGTCCGCCTGCCGTTCGCGACTGCGACTGAAGCTTTATCCGCCCGGACAGGAGCTGCCGCCCTTGCATGCCGCCGAGGAGCCCGGGGATATAAAGAGAGCTACCACGCCGCAGCACATGTCCTCGCCGAATATAGCCACCCAGCCCGATGGCATCGAGCCGATGCAGGACCAGGCCGGAGTGCGTTTCATGTCCCACGAGAACATGACTCTGCAACGACAAGGATCGGGCTCGAATTTGGCTCGTCAAACCCTGATGGCGGCGCATGCCCTGAACCTCATCCCAGCGGAGAAGGCGAGGGAAAGGAGCATCCTGGATGGCAGGCTGGGATCTACTTCGCTGCTGGGTCCCAGCGAGCTGAGCCGCGTGCTGCCCCAGAAGGAGGTCACCATCTTTGTGGGCACGTGGAACATGAACGGGCACAGTCCACCCAAGTAAGTTGTAAAAAATGCAGGAATTATCATTGGATTAACATTGGATTTTGATTATCACAGACAGCTAAACGACTTTGTGCTGCCGCCAAATGTGGAGCATGTGCCCGACATAGTGGTGATGGGCACCCAGGAGTCCAGCCCGGATCGCTTTGAGTGGGAAGTCACGATACAGGAGACCCTAGGACCCTCGCACGTGCTCTTTCACTCTACGACTCTGGGCACCCTCCACCTGGCTGTGTACATGCGCAGGGATCTCATCTGGTATTGTTCAGCGCCGGAGGATGCCTCGATGTCGGTGCGCACGGGTTCCGCTTTTCGCACAAAAGGAGCGGTTGCCATATCCTTTTGCCTTTTTGGCACTTCCATGCTGTTTGTGACCTCGCATTTGACGGCGCACCAGCAAAAGGTGAAAGAGCGGGTGTCGGACGTGAAGCGGATTATCAATGCTCTGGATCTGCCACGGAATCTGCCGAATTTGCGGCACAAGAATAAGGATGTGACGCAGAACTTTGATAATGTCTTCTGGTGCGGGGATCTGAACTTCCGGCTGGGAGAGCCGCGCGAGAAGCTGCTGGAGTGGATACAGAACACAAAGTTCCCGCTGCCGTCGCACTTACCGCATGGCTACATGCATACGGATCAGTTATCCTCCGTGCTGGCCGATGGAGCCGCCTTCCGTGGTTTTATGGAGGCGAACATTACATTTCCACCCACGTACAAGTATGATCCGGGCAGCCAGAACTTTGATACCTCGTCGAAGCAGCGTGCACCGGCCTATACGGACCGCATCCTCTACAAGTATCGCCAGATGCAGGGACTAGTCATCCGGCGGCAGACCATTGTTCCGGGAGTGTCTACGCCAACGCAGCCCCACGTCCAGTGTCTGCTCTACGACTCGGTGCCGTCGATAACCACCTCGGACCACAAGCCGGTTTGGGCGCTCTTCCGAACCCTCATCAGGGCAGGGACCGATGCGTAAGCATTATTATACACTTTACTTTAATTATTTTTAAATTATTATTCATTTTCAGAATTCCCCTGGCTGCTGGCCTCTTCAGCCGCGACATTTACCTGGAGGGAATGCGCCGACGCCTGAATAACCAATACAGCGGTGCCTCGGCCGTTTGTGTGCTGCAGTAGGCAAAAGAGATGCTAAGCCCAGCTAGGTGGAGTGGTTCTTCCCCAACCCCCCAGTGGAATCTCAAAGTGCTAGTCAATGCTTGCCAACGGTTGTGCGACGCCTTTGTATTAACCCGATTAGATTGTTACCTAGCGCGCGCTGTCGGATGCCGGATTAACGCGTTACCCAATGCAATGCTGCGGTAGTTCGTAGGCGCTGCCTTTCGCCTCGAGGCCTTAGTCGTAATACGTTCCTTGTGAGATTATTGAATGCATATACTCAGCAGCAATTCTGTACCTCTACTCAAAAGCACAAGCTTAGTCCGTAGTTAAATTAAATCTGTTAGCTGAAACTAGTCAAATATTGAAGTGAAATCGAAAAGTGAATACTTTGAATCTGTAATCTAAACTAGCAGTAAATACAGCATACGAATCTAGCGAAGGAGCCTTATTACTTGTTGAATACCCTAATATTTATTGTTAGCCTTTATCTATTTATTATTTAGTTTGTACGAGAGTTATTGTTGAATTATCTATAGCAAAGTTGTTTAGTTTTTATAATTTGCTAAGCCAAGTGAAGTTTTAATTTGTTTTAAGCAAGCTTTAAGTTTTTGTTTACTCTTATTAAACGATTTAACGGCCGAGTTATCCGTTCCCCAGTATAAGTACTGAAAATTGCAAAGGGAAGCACTCGACAATAACAAAAGCACGCTGGTGGTGGGGAGCACCACCCGTGTATACCCCGAAAATGCACCAAAAACGACCGGAAAGGCCAACACCTCCCTCCCTTTCACGCGGGCACACACACGCAAATATGTTAAACTTTTGACCAATTTCAACTTGAGTTGGTTGCCATCGGACACACTCCGGGGGCAGCAATTTATTGGATGGCGATTGGATACCGCTCGATGGCCCTGCTGCAGTGGCACCGCCACTTGTGCACCATACAAGTGGCCTCGCGGTCTCCTACCTCCGCCTGTTCCACCACCTATCCCACTCTGAATCCAACTCCGACCCAGCCGAGCTGGTGGCCATTATTTGTGGTTACGGACAGTTGCGTGTGTGAGAGCTCGTAACGAGGGCTAATCGAGGAGTGTTTTATAAGCTACATGGACGTGGAATCTTTAAGGTATGTAAAGTCTACGATCTTCTTAATATAATTTAAGATTTATAGAAAACATAATATAATTCATTAAATCACTGATTTTTTATTGTCCCTTTTTTTAATTTTCCTAGATTCTCAAACAAATTGAGAAATAAAATGTTTCTTTTTTAATTGTAAATAAGAAATATTGTTGCATGCGAATACGTTGTTTGCTTGCAAAG